TTTTTTTTTTTTTTTATCGTTTAAGCTTTTTGTTTCGTAAACTTTCGGTGAATGTATAAGGATATAATTTCGATTTGTTTCGACTATGAAATTTGAACGTGACTGGGTTAAAGTGTTTCAAGTTTTGTTGAAATTGCAACTCGATATTTCAGGAGGAGCTTGGAGTTCTTCGATCTTCTGCCGGAAGATCCTAAGCTGTACGATAAAATGCGACCACCAAAGAAGGACGGGCAGGCGACCGTTGTTTATTTCCATGTCACTGTTATGGGCCTTGATTCCATAGACGAGACTTCGATGGTACACTGTCACAATTAAAAAACTTTTTTAAATTCAATCTAATTTAATTTCAACAATATAATTTGCTTTTAAACTTGCTGTGAATCAGATTTCTTTCCTTGATTTCTTTCTTAGATTTTAGATTAAACTTCTTTGTATCTGTGTTGATTTTTGCATTGTTAAAATAATTTCAAAAGGTTCAGCCTGATTCAGAAAGAAAGCTTAGTTAGTTTAATTAGAGCATCTAGATTTTAACGAATAATCGATACTAAAAATGTTGGAACGTCGACTTTCATAATTTAATTTTTCCAGACTTACGCAGCTGATATATTCTTCGCTCAAACTTGGAAAGATAACAGGCTACGATTACCAGAAAACATGACGTCGGAATACAGGCATGTACCATAATTTCGTTTAAAAACGAACATTCCATTCGTCGTAAAATTTGTTAAATATATATCTCTTCGTATTTCACGTTTTTTCGAATGACTTTTTCTTCTCTTTATTAATTTTGCAAACATATACAACAAGTTATCATTTGTTTATATCAATTCAAGATTATTGGAAGTCGACTGGTTAAAGAATATGTGGCGACCGGATTCGTTCTTCAAGAACGCCAAATCGGTGACCTTTCAGACGATGACCATACCGAATCATTACTTATGGTTGTACAAAGACAAGACTATTCTATATATGGTCAAGTAAGGAACAAGCTTCATGATTCTTCTTCTTATAGCAATAGTAGTAGCAGTTTATTTTGATTTTTTAGTTTCACAAAATTTTCGTTGTTTCGTTTTTCTAATAATCATCCGTTCTGTTTCTCAATTTAACTTCCATAGGGAATAAAATTTCCATACAATGTTTCAGATTAACGTTAAAGTTATCTTGTGCCATGAACTTCCTGATCTATCCCCACGATACGCAGGAGTGTAAACTACAGATGGAAAGTTGTGAGTGACGCTCTTCTTGTAAACCACCCTTTAAATTGCTCCACCATATTTTCCACCTTACTTTTAGCAAAGTAGAATTTTAGCGTTTTAACTTCCTCTTATACCTCTTATCATAATCATACATCTCACTTTATCCTCAACGCAACGATTCACTTTCCAAATTCGTGTTTTTTCCCATTCAAGTCCCATTACTTTGCACTGTTTTCAGAATTTTTGACTACTTCTATCTACCTATCATTAGGACTGCGGGTTCCTAGACATTTCTACGAACATAATTAAAGAGATAGAATCTAAATAGAAATTTTCTTTTTTGTCTGATTATTCCCTCAGATGAAATTTTAATAGCAATATTCAGACAATCAGCTGAAATTACAAGATATCTTCTCGTTTTCCTTATACGTGCCTCGTTTCTCAATAATGGTTAATCTGACGATAACATAAACATTTAATAGTTAATATTGGTTAACATTGACCAGATGAAAATAACATTGGCCACATTTTTATCCCCGCTCTCACGACAATGCATCTTCATCTCTGTTCCAAATCTCCACTTCACGATTTCCTTGAAACACACGATCACGTGTTCGAAGTGTCAAAGGATCGTTCCCATTGAAACAACCAAGTGTCGCTGTGTATAGATGAGAAACAAAAACAATTCTCGAGAGGCAGAATCGCGTTGAATTGCCCAGGCCAGAAAGGCTGACCGAACAATCGTTTGTTTCATTTGGAAACGTACACCCGCATGAATATTCCTTTAGTTTCCGCGGAGTGAATGCCGAATGAGTGAATTTCACAAGGACAAAACAACTCGGTCAACAGTGTCGCACACGACGGATGAAATGATCTTCCAGTGGGATCCTGACGTGCCACTCGTCGTCGACGAGAACATCGAGCTGCCGCAGCTGCAACTGGTTAAGAACTACACGGCCGATTGCACGCAGGTCTATTCTACTGGTAAGTGAAGGCACTCAGCGGTCGACGTGGTTTTTATGCCGCGAAAGAAAGAGAACGCTCTTTTTTCTTCCTTCCTAATTAACTGTTTCAAACATGTCTCGGTATCGAACAGACGACTCGGTGTCAACCATGAGCTCGATTTTCATTGAAAGTGAATTTTCGTTGATCTTTCTATGAATCGTGTGCCGTTTATCAACTTCGATGCCACTGTTGATGTTTCATTTGTCTTTGCAAAAGTTTTTAACTTTTTCGTGGAAATTCGTGTACTTCGTTGTATTGTAAACTACTTTCCATTACTCTAACTTTCACTTTTAGTGTGCAAGTTAACTCTGCAAGTTTCTTCTGGCTATTTTCGTATTTTCCTAATGTGAAAAATCTATCTCGAGTCTGAAAACGAAACGGTGAAGTTCATTTTTTGATTGATCTCCCGATTGGAATATAAAAGTTTGAAGATTGCAGTAAAGTTGAACAAAATCCAGAGTTAAATGTAGATTCAAAGAATTTGAGGAACATGAAGTTAATGGAAATTTCTCGATGTTTAGGTAACTTCACTTGCCTCGAGGTAATATTCGTATTGAAACGTAGGCTTGGATACTACTTGTTTCATACTTACGTTCCTACCTGTCTGATTGTCATTATGTCGGTAAGTCTGGAAATAAAACACGAGTAAGAACAAATAATCTTGTCGAGAATGATTTTCCGAGAGTAATTTCGTGCCAAAGATCTTTTGAAATGAAAACAAATAAAATCTTAAAATTCGTTGTAACATTTATTTGTAGAGCACTAA